GGGGGGGGGGGGAGGGAGGATTTATTTTGAGGATGACGGATTCATGGGTTGGCTTCGTAAAACGCGGTTGTTTTCTAAGCCGTTGGATCAGACGGTGAGGGTCTGTTCTCCACCGTTGGATTTGTCACACAACTGATACATATGAGATATGCATTGAGACTCAGTTGTGGTTTTGTACTCTCTTTTTGTTGATCCGCCGCCAGCTGCCCTCGCTTTCGGTTTTGCCCTCCTACAAAAAATATTCCTTTTTAAATTTAATTTACTTCTCTTTTTAATTTTTCCCTATTTTTTTAAAATATTTTCTTTGGGCTTTGGATTTGCTTTTTAGATTCTCATTCATTCAATTCAACTTACCTTAAACGTCGAATTCACCGCGTGACGTCATCCTCTGTTCTTGAATTTCAGTGAAGATTCATTGCGGTAAAAAAATTCCTGGTTTTTACCAAATATGGATAAGTACGGGTCAGGGAACCCAGAAGGAGATCTTTGATCCCAAATAAAAGTTTGGCTCTTTTTGTGGAAAGCTTTGTTGGATTGAACAGAATTTCAGAGGTTACCTTTTTTGTTGTTGCGTGTGTGTTTTTTTTGGGCACTGAATATAACAGAAGGTAAAAAAAAAAAAATAGAATTAGATTTATAAAGAGAAAATGCTAGCCATAATCAACAACTATGAGAATATTAATTTGTGTAATTATATTTTTCTTAAATATTAATTCGGTGAATATGTTAATTATCCTCGTAAACTCCTATATTATTTATCTTAAGGAGTGATATAAAATGATTAAAAAGCAATTAAGGGTATTTGTTAGATTAGAGAGAGAGGAGTTGTGCTAAACCTCAAACACTCGAATCACATGTTTACTTGGAATGAATGAGTGAAAAATACGAGAGAGAATAATGAATATGTAATCAACTATTAACTCATAATCAATATTATTTTTAGGTTGTTCGGGCATTAGATTATGGAGTTTAATGTTGGAGCCACATACTTTAAGGAAAAGTATAAATCGATTTTCAATACACATTTTTAGTAAATAAACATGTTGTAAAAGTCAAAGTATGTATGGTCAACTTTTTAGGTAACATAATAATTATCTTAGTTCAAGCATTTATGTGGAGCAATTATTGTGCACATCTGGCACAAGGCAGCTCCAAGGCTTAGGGTAGTTTGGGCCTTGGGGTTGGGCTATGCCCTAATTGTGATGAAAATGAGGATTGAACCATGATTTGGAATATAAATTATAATCAACGTGTAATTTTATGAGTGGAACAAATAATTCATAATTTTATATTCTCCTATGTAAACTAATAGTATTTTTTTTACTTTTTATATAAATGATATTTTTATTTAATTTAATATAAATTATGAAAAGGGAATTCGAACTCGAGTGAAGAGTTTGGATTACGTCTGCTCTAACTAATTTGACTAAGCCCGAATAGTTTCTTTTTATTATATTAAAAAAAAGAAAGGAAACGTAAGGAGTTTTGTTTTGTGTTTTTTTCACTTTTCTTTTAAGTAATGAGAAAAATGAGAAAATCACATTGCATGTGTAAACTTCTTATGGAGAGAGATCATCGTGGACGACTGAAGCAAAGCCCGGCTTGGGAGGCAATGACCTCCTTCACCTTGGCAATCAATGATAAAACTATAACCCCGAAAAATACTATATATAGGAAAATAAAATTTAACTTAATCTATTTAAAGAAAATAACATCCACATGAGATGTATAACGTTCACATTTAACATATCCAGTAGGTCAATTACCAGCACCAGGACTGTGGCCTGGTGTTGTGGGTCGGAAGGCATCTTCTTCTTTCACTGCAACAGTTGTGTAACCTAATTTTGAGGGCAAAGCCGGCGTTGTGTCATCTGGTTTTTTGGTTTTGCATGACAAAATCTGGTGTGTTTCATTTGGGTCTGCTGTGTTCAACGTTAACGATCTTGCTTCAGTTGAATAAATGATGCCATAAGAAAAGATCAATGCAAGAAGAAACACATTTGCCCAGATAAGTTTGGCCTTGGCCCTGGCCATGATGAGCACAAATATTTTGAGGGTTTAGAAAGCTGAGAGAGAGAGAGGGCTAGCTAGCTGGAGGTGTGGCTAGAATAGAAGGTGATGCAGGGTATTTATAGTGTTTACTTGACTTACTGAACCAAATAACCATGAATTAATTCTTTAAGTTGTAGAAATTATGAGCAAATTTATCACTAATCTATTTAACATTTATGATTAAATATATTGTTGACTTCCTTTTTTTTTTTTTTTTTTTCTTAAAATGACTCGGGAAGGAGTTTATTCCCCAACCACTAATACTATGGGTCTGTTTGGTACAGCTTCTTGGATTGGCTTGAATTGGACTAGCTTTAATAACACCCCTAATCCATGTTTGGTGCAGCCATTCATTAAGTTAAATGAGACTAGAGAATCCGGGGCTGAAAAAAACACTCGCTCCTTGGCACGAAAATAGCGAGTTTTGAAGATGTGCTGCTAAATAACGAAGTCACTATTGAGTATGCTTTTGTCCTCTTCGAGTTGCTTTCCTCTTTCTCTTCAACATTGCTCTGGCTATCCTCTTCCGCTTTGCTTTGTTTTCCGTTTCTGTTGAACACCCAATCAGTCAACCTCTATCTGCTCAGAGGCGAAGCCAATGAAGGTCCACAATGGTCAGCTAACCCTTCTGAAGTTCCCTAAATAACCCTACATTTGTTTATCTTTACCCTTTGTTTATAATTTTTTTCTTAAAATCTGACCCTTCTGACTGAAGCACAGCAAGCTGTTATAATTCTCTCTCTCTTTTTTTTCTTCTCTCTTTACTTTTTTAATAACTTAAGAATTACTAACCCAAAACCACTTTTTTTTTTTTGTTGTGATTTCTTTATTATCTCAAATTAAGAACAATAATGTTTATATGATTTCTTTATTATTTGACTTCTGAAATTTGATATTATTAATAATGAAGTGATTATGAAAATATTTCAAGAGATGAACGATTGTGAATGTATTGAAATAACATATATGAGTTATTACTAAAGACTTTGTATTATTAGATAAATTTATCTTGTTTTGCAATGATTTTATTATTTGAGGTTGACCGTCCTTGATGAATTTTCTGGCTCCGCCCATGTATCTGCTCCGATTCCTCATGGGGTTACCTAATTTTTGCAACCAAATAAAGCCATATCACTGGCTGGTCAAGATTGAAGAGGACGTGCCTAGGAGAACACCTTTGCTGAAGCCTCTGCTTGAAGCTTTCTAGATTGAATTTAAAAAAAAAGATAAAAGGGGAAAATGGGATGTGGAGAGAGAGAGAGAGAGGTTTCTTATTAAAGAAAAAAAATAGAGAGAAAAGGAGAAAAGGGGATGTGGAGGCTGCAATGTGAGAGAGAGAGAGAGAGAGAATGAGGGAGGTTTCTCATTAAAGAAAAAAAAAAAGAGATAAAAAAAAGATAAAAAAGAATGGGGAGGTTGGGTTGGGTCTGAAATTGATGGGTTTTTTTGTTTAAGATAATTTTAGCCTTTAAAAGAATTCAGAATTTTAGTTTTTTTTTTAAATTATTGTTTTAAATTTAAATATTATAATAATTATTTTTTAGTCCGACACATCACTAAACATAGGTCTTCATTATTTTTACAATCCAGCTTCTTAGTCTGATGCAGCATCAAACATAAGCGAGTATTTAATCCAGCTTAGGCCAATCCAAGTCAGTTCCAAGATTTAATCTAGTCCATGACAGTCCATTGTACAAAAGAACCCATTAAAAAAAATCCACAAGCCCATTTAAGAGGATGTTAGCTTTTTAATAATCTCTTTTCTTTTTTTTCTTTTTGAAAACTTTTTCCAGTGAGAGGGTCAATAATATACTAAGCTCACACACACTACAAGGACGCTAAGATTCGAATCAAGAATCTTGAATAAGGAAGCAATCCCTTGCTACTCTATGTGTAGCGGTCCTTTGCTACTCTCTCCTTTTTAAGAACTCAGGAAGGAGTTTCCCTGAAAATAGGCTGAAAAAGCTGTCGGGATTTGAGATTTGGTATTCATGCAGCAGTTTGAAGATTTCATATCGTCGTGTTCCAGAATTCTTTTCTTTTTGGGGTAAATAAAACAAGTCTGTATTTATGGTATCGTGGACCTCTACTGGCCCACATATGGGAAGCCCACAAAGAGCCCAAGGTTAGATCTTATCTTTTTCTTTCGAAATGTATATGGGTTCTCCCTCACTCTGGCTCAAACTCTCTCACATGGAAATGTAACTAATTGAATTTAACTTAACCAATGGGAAAAGAAAATCCAACCTTTTTTATGAACTGAAATGAGGTCCATTACACAGATATCAATTACCAACCCCCAGGAATGTGGCCTGGTGATGAGGGTCGAAAGGCATCTTCTTTTTCTTTAATGCTATAAACCAATCTGGGTGGAGCAGGCTCTCATTGCCTAAGTTTACAACAGCATTGCCAATATGGTTAGGAGAACTGTTGATTTTTCTGGGTGGTTTTATAGGCTCTGAGTTCACATAGGCCTCTTCGCTCTTCAATGATCTTTCTTCAGTTGAAATGACTCCATAAGAGAAAATCAGTGCAACAAGAAGAAGCATAAGCTTGGCCATGGTCACTAGGGTTTGAAACTTGAAAGTTGAGAGAGGGGTGAAGGGAGGTGATGAGCTAGATGTGGCTGCACCGAGTGTAATCTAGGTATTTATAGAGTTTAGCCAAGGAGTTGGTTTATGACCATTATTGAATGTAATATGCAAAATATCGATATATCCTCAAAACACACAAATATGGTAATATATCCAAACGCATTATTACTAATTCCAAATTTAGAAAATACAGCTTAGGATGGGTTCAAAAACCCCATTTATTTTGAGGAGTTC